GGTAGTGTTAACTCTTCCCCATGTTTTGTAACTTTGAGGGGCCCAATCCTTAGAAATATATTTATAAGTTCCTTAAGTATTATTTGAAGTGAATTTGTGTCTAGAGTCCAAAGTTTCCCTTCCTGATTTGAATTCCCATCTGACTATTCTAGATGTTTAAAATTGGTTTTACTGTGTTTTTGTTCCATTTGGTATGCAGGGGTGAAAGGGTCGGGTATAGTCTTGGTGACTTTTAAATGGCTTGCTATTTAAAGGAAGAATTTAAGAGATGGTAGGAAATTGTCTAATGGAGGAAATTTTATGTACTGAAGAGAAACTCTACATTCTTGAAAATATGAGTTATTCTTTTAAGTTGAGTCTTCTCCTGGGTCTTCAAGGCCAGAAACACTTTCTCCTTATTCAAACCACACAGAGACATCGGCAGTGGTGAGATTGGCAGTTCAGCCTGGGACTGGACATTCAAACTGCATCCAATGAATATTTTTTTATGTTGATTGACAAAGGCACAAGCAATAGAAACACATTTACTAATGTTAAGATTAGTTGTTAGCTTTAAGATTAAAATCTGTCTGTAGTAGTGACTCTACTACAGGTTGAGCATCCCTTATCCAAAATGCTTGGGACTAGAAGTGTTTCAGATTTTTAATTTTTTTCCTATTTTGAAATATTTACACTCCTAATCTAAATATTAAAAATCCAAAATCCTCTAATGAACATTTCCTTTGAGCATCATATCCGTGCTCAAAAAGTTTTGGACTTTGGAGCATTTCAGATTTTCAGATTAGGGATGATCAACCTGTAGTAGTATAGGTAGGGAAAACTTATTCTTCCAATTTTTTTTTTTTTTGAGAGTGTCACTCTGTCGCCCAGGCTGGAGTGCAATGAATGGCACGATCTTGGCTCATTGCAACCTTCGCCTCCTGGGTTCAGGCAATTTTCATGCCTCAGAGTCCTGAGTAGCTGGGATTACAGGCGCCCACCACCACGCCTGACTAATTTTTGTATTTTTAGTGGAGATAGGGTTTCACCATGTTGGCCAGGCTGGTCTGGAACTCCTAACCTCAAGTGATCCACCTGCCTTGGCCTCCCAAAGTGTTGGGATTACAGGCATGAGCCACAGTGCCGGGCCTATTCTTCCAAAATTTAAATGATCCATAGGCCTATCACAAAATGGGTACTCTAAATATTTGATACTAATTTGATTAAGATGATAGGATGAATCTTTGCTTTGAAAGAGGAAATAAAGGATGCCTTTTATTCAAGAAATAAAGATACCTTTCACATCTTAAGAATCAGTCAAATTATGTCTGTGCTGTTTTAATCAGTAAAGTTTGGTTGAATTGAAAATAAGAAAAGGTTATAGGAGCCAGGAACAAATAGAGTTGCAAATTTATCTTTGTAACTCCATATCCTTAGGAGGAATCCAGTTTGTATAGCCACTTTAATTTTGTTGTGAATATAGACTGAGCAGTGGAATTGAGTAGCTTGACAGTTGACTTAATTTGAACAGTCACATTAGACAAGACTGGAAAGCTAGGTTGAGGGAAGGCAATTTTGTGTGTGTTTTCTGGTTTTGTTTCTAGTATCCTTTCTGATAATGGAGAGAATTTGGTAGCCCATTTGGACCCTACTTAATAGGTAACTATAGTGCCTCACCAATATCTTTCTTGTGCTATTCCAATTTGTCAATCATTATTGGACCCAGTGTCCTGAATTACAGTCTGATTATTTTTCACCAGTCTTTTATCTTTCATTTACCCACACTGAAATTCTTGAGCCCAACATCTCTTTTTTCCCCCACATAACTGTGAGGAGATAGTATGATAGCTAGTAGCTAGGTACTGTTCCGAACTCTGCTGCTGGCTTCCTGTGTATTATTATCACATTGGGCAAGCCACTAAGCTGCTTTGGGGTTCAGTTCCTTGATCTGTAAAATGAAATCATTTGACTGGGTATTATTAAGTCCTTTTATATCTCCAGAGCTATTTTATTCCTTTATTCACCAGACTTTTCTTGTGAAGCACCTTCTCTGTGCTAGGCACAATGCAGGATGTTCTGGGTACAAACTTCTCGCCCACAAAGAGTGTTAATAACTTCCATCAGTTTATTCAAATCAGCTTAGTCTTTTACTCTGGAAAAATTTAGTATTAGCAAGTTTCGTCAATTTTTACTATCACTGTATAAGGCATTTGTTAAAATTGCTGGTATTATTTAGCTCTTCATCTCCAGAAATACTCATATCTCTACTTTTTGTTTTTCTGCTTATTTATTATTATTATTATTATTATTGAGACAGAGTCTTGCTCTGTTGCCTAGGCTGGAGTGCAGTGGCACAAGCTCGGCTCACCACAGCCTCCACCTCCCGGTTTCAAGCAGTTCTCCTGCCTCAGCCTCCCAAGTAGCTGGGACTACAGGCATTCACCATCATGCCTGGCCTCTTTTTCTTTTTTTTCTGAGACTGAGTTCCGCTCTTGTTGCCCAGGCTGGAGTGGAATGACTCAATCTTAGCTCACTGCAACCTCCGCCTCCCAGTTTAAGCGATTCTCCTGCCTCAGCCTCCCGAGTAGCTGGGATTACAGGCATGCGCCACCATGCCCAGCTAATTTTTGTATTTTTAGTAGAGATGGGGTTTCGCCATGTCGGCCAGGCTGGTCTGAAACTCCTGACCTCAGGTGACCTGCTCGCCTTGGTTCCCAAAGTGCTGGGATTACAGGCATGAGCCACCACACCCCAGCCCATAGTTTACTTTCTATCAATTAAAGAAAAAAAAGACTAGTCATAATGGGACACCACCGCTCCTGGCTGATTTCTTTAAGGCAAATAAAAAAATACAGAATCTAGAGGTGTGATGTAATTTTTAAAAAGAGAGACCTAAACAACATCATAGGAAATTTTTCTAAGATTAAGTATGGCTTTGTTTAAAAATTGTACACCCAAAGTAAAAAGAGTTTAGTAGGTACTCTGTTGGGCACTGAAAAGAAAAAGACCAGGGGGCTGCTTCAGACTTAGAAATGGGCATTCTTTCAAGAGAGCCCCCATTGTCTAGGTTCTGAGTCTCAGCCCTGCAGGACCACATGTGATTATTATAAGTGCACCTGAATGATCAGGCTATAGACTGTAGACAGTGTAGAGGATTAAGTCACATGAAACAAATTCATAGCAGGTGTAGGCGTAGAGCTACTGCTTTTGGCTGTGGTCAGAGAAGACCTAAGTAACAAGAAGCAATGTGAGTATCTGGAAGAAGTTTCTTCCAGCCTGAGGGAAAAATGCAAAGGCCCTAAGATGGAAACAATCTTGGCTTGTTTGTAGAGAGAAAACCCAGTGTTTTTGGAGTAAAGTTAGTGATAAGGGAGAGTGGTAGGTGATGAATTTGGTATAATGGGCCAGCTCTTATAGGACTCTGTAGGTTCAGATAAAGAGCTCGAATTCTAAGTGTGGTTAAGTGAAGGAGCAATATCTGGATTTACATTTTAAAAGCCCACTGTGGCTATCATGTGAAGAATACATAAATTGGGCTACAGAGGAAGCTGGGAGATCAATTAGAAACCAGTAGCTATTCAGGTGAGAAAACTCTGGCTTGGACGGAAATGGATAAATATGGAATACATTGAGAAGCAGGACAGCTGACAGGACTTCCTGATAAAGAGGATAGGAAAAGATAGGGTTTTTAGCTTAAGCAATTGAGTCGAAGAGGTGCGAGTTAGTATTTTAGTCATGTTAGACACCTGAAATGAGTGTAATTAAAGAATGGTAAAAATTGTGCTTTTTAATTCTGTAAGCTTGTGGCGAAGGAGAGGAAGATAGCTGTGGAGAAAGACGCTGGTTTCTTGAAAACTTAGACTAGAAAAATTACTCTGGCATGTTAAAACAATAGATATTTTATTTGAAAAAATTGATTATCAGGTGCTAAAGCATGAAAAGTCATTCTGAAATAATTACAACATAGGAGGGCCAGGCACAGCGGCTCACACCTATAATCCTAGCACTTTGGGAGGCCAAGGCAGGTGAATCACTTGAGGTCAGGAGTTTGAGACCAGCCTGGCCAACATCGTGAAACCCCGTCTCTACTAAAAATACAGAAATTAGCTGGGCGTGGTGGCGCACCCCTGTAATCCCAGCTACTTGGGAGGCTGAGGTAGGAGAATTGCTTGAACCTGGGAGGCGGAGGTTGCAGTGAGCCGAGATTGCGCCACTGCACTCCAGCCTGGGTGACAGAGCAAGACTCTGTCTCCGTCTCAAGAAATAAAAAAATTAAAAAAATAATAAAAATAATTACAACATAAGATTCGTTCCCAGGATCCAGTCGTGGAAGTAGATATGAACCCATTAATGATTTGTTGAGGTCTCCATTAATAATGGTGATCCAAATTCATTAGAACAAAATAATGT